AGGAGAAGCTGTGTTTAAAAATGTATTTAATGAAATAATACAAGAAGGGAAATGATATCCAAGAAGGGCACAGAACTCCCAACAGGATTGACCAAAAGTGATCTTCACCACAACACGTGATAATCAAGCTCTCTTCAATCAAACATAAGGAAAAGATCTTTAAATGTGCATGTGAAAAAATATCAACTGACATATAAAGGAATGTCAATTAAACTCAAAGGAGATCTCTCACAGGAAACTCTATAGGCCAGAAGAGAATGGAGTGACATATTCCAGATTCTAAAAGCAGAAAATTATCAGCTCTTTGAAAATGAAATAAAATTCTTCCACAGTAAAGTTTAAAGAGTGTGCCTCTTCCAAACCTGCCCTACAAATGATGCTTAACGATGTTCTCTTGACAGAGAAAAGGAATAGTGCCCATGAAAACCAAAGGCAAATGGGAATAACATCCCAGTAAAATGACAACAGAAGATTAAATCAAAGAACAACCCATTGCTGAAATGACAGGACCAAATTACCTGTCATATTGCCATTCATATTACCATTCAAATTACTGTTCATATTAACCCTGAATGTAAATGGCTTAAACTCATCAATCAAATGTCATAAATTAGGCTGCATTAAAAAGCAAAACCCTTCTCTTTGTTGCCTACAGAAGGAGATACATTTCACCAAGAAAGATCAGAGGAAACTAAATCGCATGGATTTTTTTTTTTTTGTTTCACCTCTTCAAAACACTTTCTTCTGATTAAATTCTTCACCGACTCATAGATCATACAGTAGCATCATTTTCTTCAAGAAGATTCTTGATTTTCTTTTTCATTTCTTCAGTGACACATTAGTCATTCAGTAGCATGTTATTTAACTTTATGGTGTTGTTAGTTTTTTTTTTTTTTGTCTTCCTATTGTTGATTTTGTATCATGGCTTTTCATTTAAGGAGATGTATAGTAACTGTATAATGGAGACTATCATATCCAGATGTGAGGATACAATGCAGTATTTATCTCTACTTCCAGACAAAGATGGACTCCCAATGAAACTGTTAACTATATCTTGACAATAGGATGCTGGACTCTGCCATTGTCCATGCCCGCAATGATGGACATGTGACTGTGTATGAAGAACTATACTTTAGTAATAATATATGGGAACTCAAAGACGGGGGAGGTAATTGTGGAGGGGGTAAGGGAAATCCTAGGGCTCATGGAACTTTATCATAAAATGATATTAATAAAAAAGTACAATTTTAAAAAGACGTACTTTTTCGCTGATGTATCGGTCTTTCAATAAAATTATATTGTTCATAAACATTTTTAAGCAATTTAAATCATAAAATTGACAGGGTAATGAATCAGCCAGATTTAATAATCTTCAAATTATGGCCACTTCATTTTCCCTTTGTCTCTTTATTCACTCTCCCCTTCCAGAGTAGCTTTTGGCAAATTCCAGCTCAGGTCAATTTGCCTGTAGTCATTTTTAAATTAAGTACTTTTTTCCTGCAGTGTCAGATTAAGTAAATTCATACCTTAAAACACCAGAAAAACTTTAGGTATTATCTACGCAGTGTCCACATTCCTAATTTTCACATAGCAACCATTAATTTTCTAATAATTTAAGTTGTGGTTAAAATATGACAGAAATCTTATTATTCACTAATATACTTAAATTTATTTCATCTACAGGTCCCCTGCACACTTCCTTCGTTCCTGTGTAATCTGATGTTAACAAAACTAGGTTATTTGCTCTGCAGAGTTCTTTAAGGGCTGAATTTTGCCGAGTGTCATTCAACACCACCTTAATTAAATACGGTGTTGCCTCCACTTACTTGTATTTGTGATATTTCCTCAAAGGATTGAGAAACTATATCTGCTATGTTCTCACAGGCCAAAAGTCTGAAATAGCTGGGTTTGGTGTCTCTCAGGTGTGATCCTGAGCTGGTATCCCATGGATTTGGAAGAGAGAAAACCCAGCCCTCTTGCTTGCTTTCAGTTTACCCTGGTGGCTTCTTTTACATTCCAGACTTCTCTTGAAGTCTCCATGTGCATTTACCTGCACACATCTGCCTGAAATCACACACCTGAGGCTTAATCTTTCATATCCTACTTCTCCTACTCCAGTTCCCCTTGAAACCCTGGCCCCATAAGTGACTTTCAAACACATCCGAACAAAGGGAGTGCTTCTGGAGAGCCCAAATAATGACCAGTGGTGGTTCTAGGAAGAAGATTCTAGTTGTAGAACTCCAGAGTTGGCTCAGAAGAAAGCCAGAAGCCTTTTACTGCTTTAAGTGGGATATTGGTGACTCCTGGTCTGTTACGTTGTTTCAATTATTGTAGACCCTTGAAATCCATCAAGAAAGAGGATGAGATTTGGTGCATCCATGGGGAATGGGCCACAATATGCAGCTCAGGATATTGTTTGGGTCTGACTTAATTAACTCAAAACAGCATGAGTTATCTGGAACTTGTAATAAGCATCGTTCCAGTCTATTCTACTAATGTGTTGGAAGGGCATGAGTAGAAACTGACAGCAGTCAGGAGCCTTATTTATATTTATTCCACTGTCCTGTAAGTATGGTGTGTATGTTATATTTGTGTATGTGTTATGTTTACACAAAACAATTATGAAGTTCCCTGTTTTAATTGGCCCATAAAGAAAAGAGTGATCATACAAATTATAACTGTCAAATTAACCTAAAATCCCCTTTGGGTTCTTGTGATTTTAATAAATCTCTGATAGACTGTTCTAAATTTATTGGTAGAACAAAACTAAAAATGGTTTCCAAGTTCCTGATATATTTGTGCCTGGGTTTGCTGGTTCAGCAAGTTATACTTGTGTTAAGTATTTGCTATCATAAAAACAAAATATTGACCTAAAAAGAAATAATGTAGATAAAGGTATGATGCAATGCTTATTGTTTCCTTTAAAGTCCAATTTAGCTTCTGGAGTTGTTCTTTGACAAAATTTTGACTTAAGATAATAATCACGCTTACCTAATATTCTAGTTTCTTGGGTAATTTAGGTATAATTGTTAAAGTGTTAGTTTGTAGATGTTAAAGATAAAATGTTTGCAAATTCATGACAAAGGAAATTAGATCTTTCCGGATATGTTTCCGTAAGATGTTAGTGTTTGACAGTTCAAAATTGCTTGCTAAGTTTTTACTTGATATGAAGTTTTAGGATGCACATGTGATCTCTAAATGTTATTAAAAAATAGCTAGCTTCTTTTGTATAATATTGCTTGGAAACATATACAAGACCAAAAAGCACAGCCAAAAAAATGAGAGGCTAAGATAGGATACAATTTCAGAGCTAGATTTATTTTGCTATGGACAGAGTAACTAGACAACCCCTTGCTGCTTTACAAATAAAAAAAGCTTATTAATGCCTTCAAAATGTATAGCCAGAGAGAGGAGGAGAGACATATGGGGGGGGGGGAGAAAAAGAGAGAGAGAGGAGCGAGACAGAGAGAGACAGAGAGAGAAAGTGAGAGTTCTTCCATCTGCTGCTTCACTCTCCAAGCAATGAGTGGATCTGAAGCCAGGAGCTAGGAGCCTTTTTAGGGTCTCCCACGTGGATACAGAGGCCTAAGGACTTCAGCCATCCTCTACTGTATTCCCAGGCCACAATCAGGGTGCTAGATTGGAAGACATGGAGCAGCTAAGACTGAATTGGCATCCATAGAGAATGCCAGCGCCACAGAACTATGCCATTGCACTGGCCCCAGCTCCTGTGTCCAATCTTTATCTCTATTGATGAAAATGTAGCTTCCTCATCAGAAAAAGTCATATTGATGTCTTTTCTCCTAATGTCACTGAGCTCTTTTCCAAAAATAATAATCTGTTTGAAAGAGCAAGAGCATGTGTGTGCACATGAGAATCTCATGCCTGGCTCCATTCCTTAGATGACAATGACAGCTGGGATGGGGCTAGACTGAAAGCACTGGGACTCAGGAGCTCCAGCTGGGCCTCCTCTGTGGTGGAGGGCCCATTTACTTGATCCATTACCTTTTGCATTGACAGGAAGGTGTAATCTGGAGCCAGGACTTGAACCCAGACACTAGAATATGGCAGGTGGGTGTCCCAGGGAGGAATTAACCACTGTGCCAAATGCCCAACCCTAATTTGTCCAATGATGCTTCTGCTGCTTTTTTAAAGTCTCCCTCAGCCTATATGATTCTTGGGACTCATGAGAACATTCCATAGAATAAAAGGCCAAGAATTAGTGCCTTGGGATCTTTCTAGGGACAGAACCAAAGTCCAGATGGAATCCCCAGATGGAATCCTGGGATCCTCCCATTCCCCTTCCTCAGGTGAAGAAGAAGTCAAGATGGAAAGTGTGCAGCTGATTGAGGCTTGCTGGGGCAGGATTGGGGCTTGTATGCATAGACATAAACACCACTGGACTGAGGCAAATGGATCCTCTCACTCCCCAAACTAGAATAACTTCTTCCCTCTTCATGGCTGGCAAACACTGCTTAGAGGTGCATAAGTGAATTTTCTTTTAATTTGGTTGGTTTATTTTTTAAAAGTTTTTTGAATATAGTCAGTGGTTTAGAGAACAGAATGAAAGGAGGGTCAGGACATTTGTCCTCTTTGGAGAACTAGCCAAGAGAGTCAAGGCAACCACTGGGCCATATTCATGTTTTAATGTGCTAAAAGGGGGAAAAAAGCCACAGAGAATAACAGGCTCCCAGAACTTCCAGGATTTATTATGCATATACATTCACAGATTCAGACATAATACTAGGGGTAGAGTCAGTTCCTAACAATAGTGTCTCAGGCAGGGGCTCTAATCTCCTGAGGTTGGAACTGTGCTCACTATAGGTGGGTGCTGGGTCATAACTGTCTCTTCTTCCAGGCTCATCAGAGAGACAAGAGAGGCATGATCCAGGGGACCTGAGGTCGGTGGGGCCAGTAACTCTGTTCTCTTATGTGGGATGATCTGAGGGTCTCTGGGCCACAAGGGGTGGTTATTAATATATTGGTAGATGCTGTACCTCCTACTTCTGCTGCAGCTGCTTTGTGGGGTGCAGAGCTTCTCTTTCTGCTGGCAGAACTGGATATACCTCTTGCACCTGACTGGATGTGGAAACAAATTCAGGTTGCTCCAAGGCCTGTTCTTTTTTTGACATGTGCTCTTCTCTCTTTGCTAGCTCTTGATCCAGGTGCTGATCCAAGAGCTGCTTTTCCTGTTCCAGCTGTGTCTTCTGCTGCTGCTCCCGTTGTGTTTCCTCTTGTTCAAGCTGCTGTTCCTGGCTTTCTGCACCATGATGTTCCTCGTGCTGTTCCTGCTGCTGTTTCAGTTCCACATGGACCTCTTGTTCCTGTGGCTTCTCTTGCTGGTGTCTCTCATGTACTTCTGGCTCCTGTGATTCTGACTGCTTTTGGTGCTCCACATGCACTTCCTGTACCTGTGGCTCCTCCTGCTGGTGTTCCACATGCACTTCCTGTACCTGTGGCTCCTCCTGCTGGTGTTCCACATGCACTTCCTGTACCTGTGGCTCCTCCTGCTGGTGCTCCACATGCACTTCCTGTACCTGTGGCTCCTCCTGTTGGTGTTCCACATGCACTTCCTGTGCCTGTGGCTCCTCCTGCTGGTGTTCCACATGCACTTCCTGTACCTGAGGGCCTTCCTCCTGCTGGTGTTCCACATGCACTTCCTGTACCTGTGGCTCCTCCTGCTGGTGCTCCACATGCACTTCCTGTACCTGTGGCTCCTCCTGCTGGTGTTCCACATGCACTTCCTGTACCTGTGGCTCCTCCTGCTGGCGTTCCACATGCACTTCCTGTACCTGTGGCTCCTCCTGCTGGCGTTCCACATGCACTTCCTGTACCTGTGGCTCCTCCTGCTGGCGTTCCACATGCACTTCCTGTACCTGTGGCTCCTCCTGCTGGCGCTCCACATGCACTTCCTGTACCTGTGGCTTCTCCTGCTGGCGTTCCACATGCACTTCCTGTACCTGTGGCTCCTCCTGCTGGCGTTCCACATGCACTTCCTGTACCTGTGGCTCCTCCTGCTGGCGTTCCACATGCACTTCCTGTATCTGTGGCTCCTCCTGCTGGTGCTCCACATGCACTTCCTGCACTTGTGACTCCTCCTGCTGATGTCTCACATGCACTTGCGGCTCCTGTGGTGGCTCTTCCTGCTTCCCATCATGTGCTTCTTGTACCTGAGGCCCTTCCTGCTGTGGGCACTCTTGTTCAGGCTCCCCCTTCACAGGATTTGCAGGTTTCTCCTCAAGCTTTGAGGAGACCTCCACTGGAAGTTCAGAGGACATGTTCTGGCATGGGGCAGGCAGTGGAGTTGGCTGCACTGTTTGCTCCTGTTGGAAACCAGCTGGAGGAGAAGAAGTCTTGAGGAGCTCCTGACAAAGGGCAGTAGGGAGGGTCACCGGCAGTTTGTATTGTTGGGACATCTTGGAAAGTGTTGTAGGTCAATCTGAAAATTAAGAGGCATGTGAGGAGAAGGCTGAAGGCAAAGGGACTAGAATAGTCCCTGAAAATCTGCAGTATTACCTGTAGTACCTTGTCTTCCCTTGTTTGGGTCAGTCTCCCACTCCCTTTTGTCCATCACTCCTCTGAAGCAGCAGCAAGTGAAGGGTGGTAATAAAGAGGAGGAAAGAAAAATCTTTCTGGAAACCTCTATGTTCCCAGGCAGGGTTAACCAAGAGAACTATCTCTAGAGTTCTGCAAGGGGGAGTTGCATGCTGCTTAAAAAATTCCAAACATCTTCTCTTGCCTGTTCTGTCTCTACCCTCATCTCTGGCCTCCACTGACCAAGGGAGAGAAATGAGTTGTGGGAATATGTCACAAAGGAAGGTCTTGAGGAAGACCCCTGCACCAGAGAGGACCTGAGAGGTCATGAGATCACATGATGTATTCTGAACCTAAATCTCCCACTAAAAGGCTGGGTGTTCCTGGCAAAGTCACTTAGTCTCTCTGAGCCTCAAATTTCTCCTCTGTAATATTGGCAGGTACCTATTGAGCACAAGAGCTGACCGGCTGAGCTTCTGCTGCAATCTTTGTGCATAAGATAAGAGTACCAGCTGGAAGGTCATTGAAAGTTTGAACTTGGGCCCGGCACGGTGGCGCAGTGCACGCCCGGGATCCCATATGGGTGCCGGTTCTATCCCGGCAGCCCCGCTTCCCTTCCAGCTCCCTGCCTGTGGCTCGGGAAAGCAGTCGAGGACGGCCCAAAGCTTTGGGACCCTGCACCCACGTGGGAGACCCGGAAGAGGCTCCTGGCTTTGGATCGGCATAGCATCGGCCGTTGCGCTCACTTGGGGAGTGAATCATCGGATGGAAGATCTTCCTCTCTGTCTCTCCTCTCTGTATATATCCACATTTCCAATAAAAAAAAATAAAAATAAATCTTTAAAAAAAGAAAGTTTGAACTTGCTCTTTCAAGTTGCATACAACCAAGTTTTCCTGGTCTTGCCCTGCTTGGGCTTCTTTAAGAGAAAACTTACTGTGTGGAACAGTACAGCCTATGGTTACAAGCATTTTCCTATACCCCTTGCCTCCAGAAACAAGGGGAAAACATCATCACCCAGCCCAAATAGAAATTTTTGGAAAGAAATTGATGCTACACCCATCTCCCCAGCTAAGATCACGCATACACACAATCTCCCAGCTTCTGACCGTCAGGAAAGATGAGACATGAGAGGAATATTCCCTGCTATGCATCCCCAAACACAGCACACATCCCTTATCACCATGACCTGAGCCCCCCAAAAGGAGACACAGCCCGCTGTACCCAACTCCACACTGCCCCTGCTGTCCCTCATCCAACCGAGGCTGGCCACCCCCAGACAGACCCTGGCCTGTGGGAGGCCCCTAGTCCCACCTGGTCCTGCCAGCTGACACTCACCAACTTGATGGTGGGGACCAAGGCAGAGGCTTCCTGTGGAGTGCTGAGCTGGGCAGGGGCCAGGACACCCTTTATACCATTCCTCTGCCTGGCCTCCTTCCCAGGTTGAAGGTGATCAACTGGTTTCACCACATGAGTTGGTCAACTTCCTCCAGCCCCTTTCTGACTCATCACAGACATCTTAAGCAGCAAACCCCTCAGGGCCCTTTTTCCCAGAGTCACACAGCTTGTGGCTTGCCAGAGGGTTGTGAGGCTCAGCTATTCCTGTTATGCCCACCTGACCTGGGTGCAGGGAAGGTGAGCAACGTAAGAATGGTGAGGGAGGTCTCTTTACTGTTTTGTGACTCCAGCTAAATGTCTATTCTGAACCTTCACTTACCTATCTGTTCAATGGGTTTGCCCTCATTGTTAGACTGAGGAACTCATTTCCAGTGTCAGGGATAAATAAGTTGTATTTTGCTCTGGAATGTGCAGATCAGGGTGCATGATATAAAGACAGGAGGACTCATTTCACAGAAAGATGGGATTGTAGGGCAGTCTAGTGGGTCTGTTAGCATGGATCAATGCTTAAGTCACTTAGAAAGCTTTTGTGGTCTCTTGTGTTCCAAGGGTTTGACATCCAAGACCATAGTTACAAAAGTTCTCAAGTAAGGAGTATTTATAGAAACTCCAAAACATGGACCAATCCAGACAAGGAAACTGGAACAAGTATATAAAGGCATGGGATTAATTGTGTGCATTTCTTTAAAGATTTAATTGTATTTATTTATTTGAAACGTAGGGTTATGGGAGGTGAGAGGGAGTGCAGGAGAGGCAGAGAGAGAGAGAAGAAAAAGAGAGATGTCTTCCATATGTTGGTTTATTTCTGAAATGGTTAGAGCAGCCATGCCAGGCTGAAACCAGGAGTGCAGAGCTGCTTCTGGCCTCCCACAGGAATGCAGGGGCCTAAGTACTTAGGCCATCTTTCACTGCCTTCCCAGGCACATCAGCAGGGAGCAGGATCGGAAATGGAGCAGCTGGGACTGGAATCAGTGTCAATATGGAATGCTGGTATCACATACAGTGGTTTAACCCTCCATGGCCCTATTGTTTTTTCTTATGAAGGTAAACTCGTTTTTATCATTATTTTTGGAAGTGAATGATGGTGTAAAGAACTAAACCTCCTACAGCCTTCTGTAAGCCATTGTGGAAAGCCAGATCAAGAATTGTGTGTCTCCCAATATCGTTACTCAGTATACTGGGGGTAAAAGCAATGGTTTCAAGGGCTCTGGAAGATGTGATCTCTGCTCTTGATAGATGTATGACCACTTCCCTGAGGATTCTTAGTTGCAAGGACAAGTCTAGGGCTCCTTATTTTGGCACTGATAATTGCTCCCCTCTGCCAACAAGCTCCCCACCAGGACTCTGGTACTTGGTGCCTTCCAACCTCAGCATAATGCAGGGACCCGCCTGACAGGCTTCTCTGACTATCTCATCTAAAGCATCATCCTCCAGTGGAGTTCATGCCACTCTTAACCATCTAGGGGTACTTTATCTGCTGTGCCAACTTGTTCATTGTCTATGTCGCTCACTGGAAAAGAATCACTATCAGAACAAAGCCATTCCTGGATTGTTTTTCATTACGTCTCCAGAACTCATCAAAACCGCAAGTTATAATAAGTGCTCTGTAAATATTAGTGAAGGATGGAGGAACAGTCAGTTTAACCAGATGGGGATAACTGCCATCAAACATTTTCATGTTGCTGGGTGTGTGTGTGTGTGTAGATGTGTACATATACATGTTGTGTAAAACAAAACTAAATGCTAGCTTGCCTTTTTGATGTTTGGTTCATAGCTTATTTTATGGACAACATTTATTTAAACTCTCTTCTTTAGAGTTTAATTGAGAAAGGAATATTAGAATAATATACAGACAGAACATATTTCTGGGGCTAATTTTGAAACGTGTTCTGATTCTCCATCATTTTCTCAAAAGACCTCTTTCCGGTAGCCCCACGCAGATCAATTTACAGCACTAATTTTGCTGTGTTCCTGCAGCCCAGCATGGAACAATGACTGAGGGCTCACAAGAGGCTTCTGGCCTTTGAATGTTACCTTCTCCTAGTATTTTGAACCCTGAGCCCATTCAGGGACCAGACCCTGCCTCTTGTGTACAGCATTGTCTATACCACTTTCTGGGACAAGGAAGGTACATTCCACACTGCACCCCTCTCCACGTAGAGCTCACTGGGTACCCCCACATGGGCGCCAATGCCCTTGTTCTCTGCTGCTGACCTCACAGAGGAGGAATCTACCTCTCCCTGGCCCATGACAGTCAGTCACAGGGCAGCAGACCCTGCTCAAGGAAGTCACACCGGTCTTATGGGTTGCAGGGGCTCAGTATCTACCCGATCTGCCTACCGCCCTCTGATTCATGGAATAATGAAAGCTGTCAGCATATGGTGTGTGAGCTGAGCCTTTGACCATTGGGCAGAGTTAGGGTGTGGGAAGGAGGGCAGAGGATGAAGCGGAGTGTGTGTGTGTGTGTGTGTGTGTGTGTGTGTGTGTAGGTAAGAGGTACACATCATAGGGTTGGAGAGGCTTCATTCTTCTAGGGCTCAAGGTCCCATATTTTGCCTTCAGGTTGTTCTGTTTTGGGAGCAGGCATGCACACATATAGGGAAGATTCTCTCAGTGACTGAACATGACCTCATAGGCCCTGGGGCCTGCGTGATGAGTCTGGGCAGCTGGCCAGACTTGGCCCAGTGTGATCAAGATGACCTCATATTCCATGACACATCAAGAGCCCTTGACCCCTGCTCTGTCCCAGCCAAGCAGGCCCTGGCTATTTCTATCCAGAGAAATTGACTGGATTCTGTCTCTCCAGAGTGAGGCTACAGTTCTGAATTGCTGGGTTGTGGGGGGAGGCAGAAGGCATTGGAGATGGCAAGTTACTGTCCTAGAGAGTGGGCGCAGTGAGGATAGCAACAGATGTTGGGCAGGTGGCCTTGGGAAAGTGAGTTGGGGTAGGAGACCTTGTGCTCCCATCCTTGGTAGCTGTGCAGGGCTGCTTCCTGGCCTGGCAGTGGTCTCACACTCTGAAGTTGCTCCCCAGGGTCCCCTTCATTTCCTTGGGGCACTGTGTCAGGCAGCACCCATCAATCTGTAACTTGCACTGGCTCCACCCACACACCCAGAATCCTTCTTGCCTTTATCCAGGGCCTGCTGAACCTGACCTCAGCTCCTCACTCACCTTTTGTGCCTGTCTGCAAGAAAGAAGGGGGTGGGGAGGCCCAGAGCAGTGGCCCAGAGGGAGAACAAGATAAAGATAGGGACAAGAAGACTGGTTGTTGCTCTTGGGCTCCTGGGTGGCTCTGTTTGAGCCGACCTGTTTGCCTCTCTGACCTCTTCTTCTCCTCCCTGACCTGCCTCTCACTTTCAGTCTTTAATGCTGATCCTTGCACTTAGTTGGGATAGATGTGGAAGGTCACTATTGGTCACTTGGAGGAGCAGAGACTCACAATGGAAATGGAGCTGCTGGGGGTGGGCGTGGGGTCTTCCTCAGGCTAAAGGGGAAGTCCTATCCAGGGCTTTCTGTTATGAAATGACAATCCTTGAAGTTCATTTTTTGAACCAGAAGGCAGCTGAAGGAGTATAGGAGTCCTAGTCCTGGGAAAGTGCATGCCAGGTGTCTTGATTAGTCCTGATGCTTTGGGACACTGTCTTTCTGAGCAAGCACAATTGTAACTATTAATAATCATCATCAATAATTTCAACTCAGGATAGAAAACAGATGAGTGAGGGCTCCTGAGGGGCAAGGGGCTAGGGAAGGATGAAGGAGGTATAAAAACTTAATAGGTGTGCAGTTATCATCTGGGTTGACTACACAATTAGATAGGATTAGTAGTTATATGATGTGTGTGTGAATTACCACTGAACTGTCCCATTTAAAGTAGTTAGCTTTATGTTGCATGAATTTTGCTCAATAAAAAAAGGATATATATTTCCTTGCCTGATAGCAAGGTCACAAGGTGAAACTGTTCATGTGGTTGTTGCACTCAGCCTATCAATATTTATTAAGTCCTCCTTGTGTGCACTCTAGAGAGAATGGTGAATAAATAAGATTTAGTTCCTGCAAGTAGCTTAGAGAACAGAAGTTTTTCCATACCGAGAAGGCCCTTTGCACAGCCCATTCCCCTGGGTTGGGGCCAGGCCCCTCTCCTGGAGAGGGACTGTAGAGAGGACGTGAGGTGCCCAGGGGCCAGCAGTGTCTGACATAGCTGGGCTGGAGCTTCGAGGTGCCCAGATTAAGTCTGGGGATTCCTTCCCCTTTAAGCTGCCTTGCTGGAAACGTGAACATCAGAGCTGTGTGACAGATCCCATGTAATCACTTCAAGGACATCTTCCAACCTATGAGCCAATCCTCTGAGGGAAGCACCAGCTTTCCCATACCACTGAAATGTCCCTGGGATGACCCTCGTTGATCCTGGAACTGGACAGCTCCTCTTGCTGTGCGTTTCTGATGTTAGGTTTATTTCATCCTAACATGATCTGCAGGGAGCTACTGTGCAAAGATGGGCACCAGCTTGCAAGTCAGGTGGGCCTTAGCCTGACTTCCACCTCCAAGTCTCACTATCTGGGGAAGTTACCTCTGTCACTCCTAGTTTGTTCATCTGTAAAATACAGCTACAAATATTTTTGTATTTGCTCGGCAGGAACTGGCTGGTTCATTGCAGCATTGTGCCAGATGATTGCTGGGAGAATTGTTGGTATGTCACTTGCCTGAAGATAGTCTTCAAGTTGCTAGGTCTTTGATTGTTAACTTCAACTCATTCTCATTTTTTTCTTTTTCCAATGAAAATCATGAAGCTCCAAAGTCCTATGATGTTTGGGAGCAGAATGGGGCTAGGAGCCAGGTTAACCTGCCTTTCCATTCCTGTTCCTTTTAGTCTTGCATGCTGTTATTCTGGGTGTGTTGTATAGGATAGTGTGTTCAAGTCCTCTCACACTCCAAGAAAACTGTCTGTAGGTTTGTATTCCCCTGGAGTTAGGCTCATGGAGGAATCAACTAGAGTTTGCATTTCTAAAAGCAGGTGCAGGGGAAAAAC